CTGTTAAAGAGGCTCTCTTTTTTCCATTGGACACTCTTTCCGGCTTTGTCAAAGATTAACTGGCCATACATTTGTGGGTCCAATTCTGGGTTCTCTATTCTATTCCATTGGCCTATGTGTCTGTTTTTGTGCCAATACCATACTGTCTTGTTGACTATAGCTTTGTAGTAGAGGCTAAGGTCTGGGATTGTGATGCCTCCCATTTTTGTTTTCTTCTTCAGTATTACTTTGGCTATTTGGGGTCTTTTGTGGTTCCATACAAATTTTAGGATAGTTTGTTCTAGCTTTGAGAAGAATGCTGGTGCGATTTTGATTGGGATTGCATTGAATGTGTAGATTGCTTTGGGTAGTATTGACATTTTAACAATATTTATTCTTCTGATCTATAAGCATGGAATGTTTTTCCATTTCTTTGAGTCTTCTTCAATTTCCTTTGTAAGTTTTCTATAGTTCTCATCATACAAATCTTTTACATCTTTGGGTAAGTTTATTCCTAGGTATTTTATGGTTTTTTGTGCCATTGTGAATGGGATCAGTTTCTTGATTTCTCTTTCTGCTGCTTCATTATTGGTGTATAAAAATGCAACCGATTTCTGTATGTTGCTTTTGTACCCTGTGACTTTGCTGAATTCATGGATCAGTTCTAGTAGGCTTCTGGTGGAGTCTGTCGGGTGAGTATCATGTCACCTGTCTTTTGCTGTCTATTGTATGCTTGCCTTTCGTCTGTTGTTCTAACTTGACCACTTATGCTTCAGTGAGCCACATTTTCTCTCCAGCCTTAATCCTTAGGCTCCTAAGACCAGTTACTTAATACTCTTCAACTAGCAGTAGATGTCATACATCTGGTCCAGTATAGCATATTTATCTGTTCCCCCTTACTCTTGTATTCCCTGTCATACTTAGTGGCCCCTTCATCCATATTCTCTCCCTAGTTAGAAATTTAGGAGTCATTCAGGAGCAGGTAGAGAATATTTGGACTCTGGAGCCAGACCATCTAGTTTGAATCCTGGCCCTACTACTTTGTAGCAGACTGTTTTGACTACTTTGTTCCCCAATTTCCTCATCTCAAAAATGATATCAATTATAATATCTACCTATTATGAAGATTCGCTGAGAAAATACATGCAACACACTTAGCAAAATGCCTGGCACATAACGAGTGCTCACTAAATCTTTGCTGCTATGACTGTCCCCTCAAGCCCTGAATCAAATTCCGCAGGACATTGTCAGTTTCTCTCTTTCAAAGCTGTCACCTCCTCTTCATCCCACTGCCGCAGCATGAGTTTATACTTCCTCAGCTCACCTATACAGTAAAGCAGCTTCTCAGCTCAATCACCGTGCCACCAGCCGTGTTCCCTTCTACTTGGCATTCACATGGCACCAGAATGATGTTTATTCGATTTTTATCCCTATCATATAAAAGTTGTCAGATAATAAAATCACTATTAAATATTATTTGAAAATTCAATAAATCCTAAAAGGATCATATCACAAAACACAGTAGTCCTCTGCCACCTTCAACTATTGTAGCTGGGTTTTTCCCCCTGGTATTTACCTCCGTATTTCTTGCTATCAAGCAATTATGATCATTGAAAAGTTAATTCTTTTATACTGCTCCAATTCTCCCAATATTGTTACATCACTATTTTAGTTACATTAGTAGTTAATGGTCAGTGTTTACATAGACCATAGATTTTACATAAATGATTACTGATATGGAGCCAAGAAATATACTAACATTCTTTTTTAGAATAATCATTTGTTTCTTTCTAGAGTTAACAGTTGTCTTTTTTTTTTTTTTATTCTTTATGCACCTGTAACTTTCAAATGTACCCATCCAATGTTAAGGCCTCTCTAATCACTGGCCTAACTTATTAGATATTCCGTCAGTTACTTTTTTAGGCTAGCAGTGTGACTCCTGGTTGTCCCATCTTCCAACTCCAAGTGTCCTGGCAATCCTCTGTGCCTACTTCACAAGTGTCCTCCTTGGGGACTTCTTGTCACCACTCTCCTGGATTGGATACTTTGTTTTCTGCATTCCAAGTTAACCATATTTATTGGTTTATTCCTCGACTTCACTAAAACACATTTTCCAGCAGCTTCTTGAGGAAGAATTCATCATGGGAAGTATATAGTTAGCTTTTGCATGCTAAAAAAAATGGCTCTGTTCTACCTTCACGCTTACAAAATTCTGTAAAATCGTTTTTAAGACATTGCACCATTGCCCCTTGTAGCTTTTAGCACTGTTGTTAAGGAGTACAGTTATCTTTTTTATTCCTCATCCTATATTCCTCTTTCTTTAATCATATAATGTATGTAACCTGGGTGGGTTTCATTTGTTTGTTTTTTTACTCTGGAATATTTTAGGAATTTGTCTTTATCCCATATCTTGTGAAATTTCACAGTAATGTATCTTAGCAAGAGTTTTTTTTTGTTTGTTTTTTTAAACTAATTGTGCTAGATTTTGAAGGGTCTATCATCTGGGAAATTTCCTTCTTCCACTGGATAATTTTCCCCTTTCTTTTTTTATGTTCTCTTTCTAAAACTCCTATTAAGCAAATTCTAGATCTCCCAGATTCACCATCACGAATTTTCATACATTTTTTAAACCTGTTTGTCCCTTTTTTCCTGCTTTCTTCTTATATTCTCACCTTTACCTTTCAACTTTCCTAATACATGTTTCAATTTTTGTTCTGGTTTGATTTTAAAAGTTCTTTCTTACATCCTGATTGTTTGATTTCTCTATAGCATCCTGTTCTTGTTTAATGGATGGTAATATATTTTCTCTTATCTCTCTGAAGGAATTATAGGGTTGTTGTTTTTTTTAAGTTTTATTCTCCTTTACATAATGCCTCTTTCCTCCAAGTTCCTTTTTTTTTCTTTTTGTTTTGTTCTGCCCTTTTTCTTCTAGGCTATCCCCAAGTTTCTGGTGATCCTTAGCCAAATGGTCATACTTTAAAAGTAAGGGACTGAAAGAGCAGTACTTGAATGTCAGTATATTGAACTCTTTTTTAGGGCCATTTGATTAATCCAGAGATGAACTCTCCAACTTCCTGTTTGGAGGGCGGGGGTATGAGTAGGTCACAGAAAATTGATTGCTGGCGTCCCGGGAGCAAGGTAGGGAATCCACCAGTTGGTGTGATGCTTTCACTTAATCTTCCTGTTTTAAGCCTTTATCCTCACCCAAACCTTCCTTTGTACCTGGAATCTCAGAATCCAGCAGTTTCTCCAGGGAACAAAGAGGCAGAATTCTTATGGAAAGGGCGATGGAATAAGGGATAAATCCTCCACGTACACAGTTCGATCCTGTGATTTCTTTTATCCTGCCTGGTTTCTGGCACTTTTGACTCATGCATGAGCCTTTCTGGGACTTTAGCGTGACTGAGCCGGCCTTTCATTGGTATCCCCTTTTGCAAATACTTTGTTTACAGTGTTCTTTACTTGCAAAGTCATTTACTAATCTTCACTTTTGTCTTTCAAAAATGTATTACCATCCCTTGTGTGGTCCTCTCTCCCCTCCACCTCGATCTCCTCTGATATTCTCTTTGTTCTGGATTTATACTTTTTAAAAAAAATCATCTCTGTTATTTTACTATGGTTTTGGAGGGAAAAGAAGGAAACACATGTTTTAATTCTCCATGTTAAACCAGAAGTCTAGAACCAGTTTCATCTATCATCTTTCTTATCAGCCCAGCAGCCTTCTAAATTTATCATAGAAACACCTGAACTATTTTTCTGAAATACCATGTTCTAATGTAGATTCAGACTAGGTACAGAATGACTTGCATACGTATTCTTTCTGGTGGCTATAGCATATTTATTAAAGCCTGATGAATCTTTAATATATAAGTGTTACAGGGAAAATTACATGCAATTACAGTAAAATATCCCTAAGACCAAATGATGCAGGAAGAATACAACATTTAAGAATGTGACAGAAATCAATGAGAGAGATCGAAAAGTTTGTAGTTACATTTCTTTGAAAAGCAAGTTAAGCAATGGAAAGCTTGGGAAGAATAATGTACCATGAAATAAAAAGCATTGTTACAGTTCACAAGATACAGTACTGCTGGCTTTATAGATACTAATGCCAGGGTGGGGTGAGAGGAAACTGAGTCCACCTTCATTCCTCCATCACACATTTGCAAAATTAAAAGCAAATGAGCAGTGCAAAGTCATAGAAAGGATAATGCTTGGTGTCTCCTTGTTTTATTTCCATATAAAGCCAGCTGGGATGATATAGTACAGGAAATGACTATGTCAAAGTAGATAAATTAGATGTATTTCTCAGTGTCTAGATAACAAATAGTGTGTATCCCAGGTTAGGAATGGTGCCAGCTGGCCTGAAGACAAAATAGTCATATCCAGGGATTGGCATACTTTTCCTACAAAAGGCTATTTGGTAAGCATTTTAGGTTTTGCAGGCAAGTGACGATTTCTGTCACAACTTTTTAAAAATTTAAACAATTAAATCTATTATTAAGGAAGGAAATCGTCTAGAGGTGAAGGCAGGCATCAGATAAATTATCGGTATGATGATATTAAGAAAGCAGTAATATAGAAGTCAGTATAATTTTTTTTAGGGGAGACAACTTATATTTGAAGGTCAGGAAGGCCTCTCTGAAGAATTGGCATTCATGCTGAGACCTGAAGATTAGCTAGATGAAATAAAATTGACATCCTTTCCAGCCGGAGGAAATTGCCTTTGCAAAGGCAGAAAGGCAAGGTGGTGAGGGTGGCAGGAGCTGAGATTGCAGCAGTAGATGGGGCTGGATTAACGAGGGCTTTGTAACCCAGCACACACACAGCTTGCTTCAGTGACACTGAAAACAATGAGTTTCTGTTCTGTCTGCATCCTGTCCCTTGATGGAAAGGAAAGGCAGTCTAAGGACTAGGTAGGTATGTGAGAAAAGTTGGCCCAGGACTGAAACTTGACCACAGAAACTTCATCAATCTCTACAGAACTAATGGAGTGGTAATTTTCTGTTCTCCGTTCACAGGAGTTTTTTGAGAACCCTGCTTTTCGTCCTGATGGTTTGAAACTCTACCCTACCCTGGTGATTCGTGGAACTGGGCTTTATGAGCTCTGGAAATCAGGAAGATATAAAAGTTATTCTCCTAGTGACCTGATCGAATTGGTGGCCCGGATCCTTGCTCTTGTGCCTCCATGGACTCGAGTATACCGAGTGCAGAGGTAGTATTATCTTTTCTGCCAAAAGTAATCAGTGATGAGTCTGGTTACAATTTCTTTTTTTTTTTTTTTATGTTTATTTTTGAGAGAGAGAGACCACATGTGAGTGGGGGTGGGGCAGAGAGAGGGGGACACAGAATCCAAAGCAGGCTCCAGGCTCTGAGCTGTGAGCACAGAGCCCAACGTGGGGCTCAGACCCATGAAGAATGATGAGATCATGACCTGAGCCAAAGTCTGATGCTTAACCAACTAAGCTACCCAGGCACCCTTTGTTTATGATTTCTAAAATGAAAAAAGTCTGATTTAATATTGAGGTGTTTGAATTTTTTTTAGTCAAAAATGGGACACCTGGAATGCAGTATGTACATAGGGATGGAAATGAAAGGACAGTGTGTTCAAGCCACTTTGTCAGTATCTTATTTATTCATGTATTCATCTCGCCATTGATTGATGTACCAGGAGATGGCATTAAGATGGTAACAGGCATGATGCTTGGTTCCAGGAGCTTATGACTAGATATGGTAGGGAGTACAGAAGGAGGAAGTGTAGCCATGAGTCTGTTATCTCTGTTGTAGACCTCTGAAGAAAAAAGAAAGAGTAGCAACAATTCAATTCTTTCCAGATACTAATGTAAGTGTGAAGAAAAAGTGACATATTTCTGATGGCATGAAGGAAATCATCTTAACTGCTTCTTTCCTAGGAGAGAAAAACTAAGATCTCATTTGTATTCATGACCTTTATAATTTTTTTTTTTACAAGAAACATAACATTGAAGAAAAGATTTAGGAGGCAAAAAGTTACCTATCTACCTATAGTCCTCACAAAGCCATTCCTGTATTTGCTTGTCAGTAGGCACATTTCGACCACCTTGCCAAAAACTGCCTGGATTCTAGTAGTACAAATACAAGGTGAAAAGGTGACTAGTAAATGCATGTGCAATCAATTGCTATAACTGTTACTCCACCGAGCACAACAATTGTGTTCCCTAATAGTATAAAACAATACTGAAAACAAGCAAAAGTATCAACTAAAGAATTATCAAGAGTATAAATGGATTTGCTTAAAAGTTAAAGGATGTTTACACCATACTTCTGTCACAACATATTGATTTCTTAATTTTTTTTAATTATTGGCCCAATTTAAGGATCTAAATTGCCTAGATTATCTCTATTGTTTTTAAATACCAAAGAAAATTCAGCTGCCAAAATTGTTTGCATTGTCTTCCCCCTTCTTTTTCAATCCATCTGAAACCATTCAGTTCAAAAGACAGTAGGAGGTGCTGAAGAGTGCAGACCTCTTCACAGAAGTGGGGGCCGTAGGCCCAGAGCAGAGTGTGTAAGCTGTCCTTGTGGAGGAGGCCTATGAGCAGTGTGGTCTCCTGCATCCCGAATGTGGTGGAAAGGGCATTCCCGCAGAGGGCTGAGCACGTGAGGAGGGGTCTCTGAGGGAGTGCAGAGAGGAGCAGCAATAAAAGATTGGGTACTTCCAGAGGATTGATCTAATAAGTAGATAATATTAAGGTTAATGGGAGCTAGATTTTGTGTTATCTACAAAGAACTGAAAAAGGGGAAAGAATATACCCCCATGGTGTTTTAAAATAGGAGACATTGTTGTGAACTCATGGTTTCCAACAGATAAGTAGATATAGAAATAATTTTAAATGTAGTAAATAATAATATAGTGTTTGTATCCTTTCCATAGTTTGTTTAATACCACATTCTTTGCATTTTTGTGCTGTTTCGTGGTGATTTCACTATTTAAAATGGCCCATAAGAGTAGTACTGAAATGTTGTGTAGCGTAAGAAGGCTCTCATGTGCCTTATGAAGAAGATACATTTGTTGGATAAGCTTCATTCAGCTTTGAGTTATAGCAGTATTGGCTGGGGGTTCAATGCCAGTTATATGGTGTTCTTCAACACCATGTGAAACAATCTTATATGTTGATCAGGTAATGAAAATGTTGTGACCACAGGCTCACAGGAACCTAGCCCTGTTTTTCACTTAGGAACAATGTCTTACTATTCACTAATTTAATGTTCACAACGACTTTGTAGAACATAAACTACTGTGAAGCATGAGAATTGACTGTACATTGTTTCAGAGTACCTCCCTACAACATGTTTAGTAATTACAGAACAGAAAGAAGTAACTTTGGAGAAGACTGGCAGCTGGTTAAGGTGAATATCATCAGTAATAGTACAAGTCATAGTCGTATGCCACCTGAGAGTGTGTACTGAGAATAGTATCCCTTCTATGTTATTCAGCCAAAACACCATAATCTGAATTTAATTATGAGACAACATCAGACAACCCAAATTGAGGACTATTCTAAAAAATAGCCTGAAATCTTCAAAATTATAAGAATTAAGAGTTTCATTTTGAAGGAGACTAAAAACTCACAAAGCCTAAATATAACACAAGGTTCTGACTAGATCCTTTTGGTATAAAGAACATTATTTAGACAGTGGTGAGCCTGCAGTGGAGTCTAGGGTTAAACAGTAAAGTACCAGTGTTAATTTCCTGAATTTGATGGTCGTGTTATGCTTCCGTAAGAGAAGATTTGTAGGAACTACTTTAAGTATGCTTGGGGGTGTTGGGACATTTGTTCCCAATTCTCCATCAAATAATTTAGGGAAAAAGTTATTTGTACTACACTTGGGACTTTTTCTATAACTTTAGGATTGTTTCCAAAAATGTAAATTAATACAATAGAAAACAAAGATATAATAAGTAGTATTAACAAAGACAAAAGAAAATGATTATTTGCATTTAACCGACTTGAGCAACTAGATATGTGAAGATACTACTCCCCAATAGCAGAGCATGGCAACAAATCTCTCTGTTGTGTTGACCTCAACTTAATGATAGTGATCCTGTCAGCTCTGAGTACCTGAGGCACTCACCTGGCCCTTATTACTCATAGTGAGTCCCAACAGACATTTCCCCCATGGAGGCCATGTTGCTGGGCCAGCCCTTATGCTGCTTATCATAATAGCAGAGCACACTTCAGTAAAAAACCATCAGGGGGACTTTGAGAAACAACATTTAAATTTGTTTAAATGTTTATTTTTGAGAGGCAGAGCGTTAGCAGCGAAGGGGCAGAAAGACAGGGAGACACAGAATCCGAAGCAGTTTCCAGGCTGTCAGCACAGAGCCTGATGCAGGGCTTGAACTCACGAGCCACAAGGTCATGACCTGAGCCAAAGTCAGACATTTAACGAACTGAACCACCCAGGCTTCCCGAGAAACAACATTTATTACTCAGATGTCCTGGAGGGTACCCAGCAAACCTGAGGGGTACACAGTGAGGTTGTGGGGTAAGGAGGGAAAGGCAGGAACCTGGGCCTCTGCCTTTATTTGGATACAAGAGCATAGTGTCTAGGGCTTTGTGGGTTCAATCTTTATTGGTTAATTTAAAGAATATGAATGGGAAGTAGGGTGTGATAAGGAAGAAATGAGGCCACTCAGATGGTCAGTTATCTAGGTTACCCAAGGCTTTGTGAAAGAGGGAACTTACTAGGGGGAAAGGCAGCCTCATTCCTTACCTGGTTGTTTAGCAAGTAGCTGGCAATGTGTTTATTCAGGATGGATTTCTTCTGACATCAAAAGCTTAATGTTAAGCACTTATACTACAGAAAGCACTTATGCTACAGGGCAGCCAGAGAGCACTGAAGATCATACTTCCCAGCAGCAGAGAATGGCAGCAAATATCACAGAGTAGATAGAAATTTCACAGCCATAAACACCATAGTTTTCTTACAAAAGTAACAAGGTGTATCTCACACAGACGAAGAATGTGCATTTTCCCCTTTCACTTTCAGCTTTAAGTTTTGTACTGCTGTACCACTGAGTCAAAAGCAACAGAGACATTGCTATAACATTAAAAGCTTAATTTTATAGATCATGAAATATCACCATAGGACATTATCCTGGCCTACCACCAACTGAGAAGATAAGGACTTTGAGAAAACAAGAGCAGCAGAAATAATCTCTATAGAATCATTGTAAAGGGGTCATGACTGGAAGAATTAAGAGCATGTGCGTTATATAACCAAAAGTTGTATGCTGAGAAGGGCATAATATTGTGGATAACCAACCTGAGGTTGATGAAAGAAACCTCCCTGTTCTCAGTTCTCCTGTGATGACCCCATTACAGCTCTCTGGAGGATCGGGCAGTGGAAGAGTTCCTCAGCTCTGATGCCAAGAGGCCAGACTGTCAGTTCTACTTCCCTGTCAGTACATCACTTAAGAGATTTATGCAGGACAAGTATATGGGTGGGTATAGGCTTAAGATTTCAAAGTGACACTCTCTTATTACTTTACAAAGGGGGGGGGTGGAATTAAAACTTAATGGGATGCTGTAAAACAAGACATACAAACTCTTTAAAAAATGTGGAATTAGTAATGTCTCAGACTCCCTCAGAATTTATTTCAAGATAGTGATGACTCAGTTCCTAACACAGCAAGTGTGTTTGGTGGAGAGAGACATTCAGGGCCTACCTGTGATGTCAGATTTTCGTGCTTTGTGACTGAGACTTCACTTAATTGTGAACACAGTTATTTTCTAGGAGTTTTAGAATAAAGATTAAAATCTTTATGATACTTTCTATTTTACTTTTATATTTTTTGCATTTTTAATATAACTATGCTATCATTAAACAAGTTTCCATTAGAATCCTTTTGTTTTATGTAGCTTACTGTGGACTAATGTTCAGTAAAGCATTTGTTCCCTGTAAGCATGGACAGAATTCCTTCAAATATGTTACCTTATGTTTTGCATTGAATATTGCTAAACGAGTCCTGTGGCTTCCTACAGAGGAATTCATTCAGATTTATATTTTATTTACATACTTTCTTTGTATATACCACATAAAAATTATTCAAATTTATTTTATATTGACGTGTTTTCTGTTATCAATAATTACTGAAATTCTGGCCTAGACTTTCACAGTATTGAGAGTAGCAAGTGTTTCTGTGTACCACCATTCATTGATCCCAATACATTTCTTTCTGAGAATGTGATTTTATACTTTTTTCCAACAGTTTGTACAATACTACTAATTGTCGAGAACTTATATTTTTACTTAATTTCTAGCCATACAGTACTGTATTTATGTGAACAAAATAATTTCTTTATAAGCCTGCTTTAAAAATACTTTCAAAATACATATTACTATATATAAGTAATACTATTTTTTTAAAAATTTCCTTGTATAATTGAAATTCATCTTTACACAGCAATACATTTTATACACTGGCAAATATTCCATTTACATTTTTGTGTCCATTTCTTATTAAAGGCTTAGAGTAATCCTCATAGGTATAATTTTAATGACAGCACAGTAGTCTAGCATTTTATCTCACTTAGTAAACTGTTCCCTAAGGTTGCTTCCAGCCTTCTTTTTTTTCTTTAATCATTTTTTCATGTTCATTACTTATTGAACTGATCTACGTTTCACCTTTTCCAAAATGTAAAGTTAAATAGGACTTTAAGGGGGTGCCTGGCTAGCTCAATCCAGAAGCCCCACATTAGGTGTCGAGATTCCTTTAAAAAAAAAGCTTTAAAAATAAAGGCTTTAAAAGTCCTGTTAACACATTTAGTGAGTACCAAACTAGGAACTAATGAGTACTAATCTGTTCAGGACCGAAGGGACTTCCTTGGTTTCTTTGGACAAAAATCCCCCATTGACTAAAGGCTATACAAATAGTTGTCACTTTATTAAACTCTGAATTGCACAAAACTCCATTAGGCAGGAGAAGTGGCCAGGATAGAAGGACGTGGGTTGTGGGGGCAGCCAGTCTATAGGGGATGACTAGGCTGGAGGCCAAGGTTCAGGTCCAGGACCTGCAGGCAAAAGCAGGCTGAGAAGTCTAGAGGCAGAGGTTAGTGCATTTATCCAAAGCCCTTCCTTTCCAGTTTCTAGGATGCCGATGCTTTCCTCAAGCAAGGTTTTTTTTGTTTTGTTTTGTTTTGTTTGCAGTCAATTATCCTGACCTCCATTACAGCTAAAATTCTCCACTACAGCTGAAAAGTAGCACCTTTTATTTTTGATGAAGTAATCTATTAGAGTAGTATAATCTAGGAGAAGGATTACTCATGATAAAGGAACTAAGTAAGCATCTTTGTATGATGATGAATATATTTTCTGGAACAAGGGGAGTATAAATGAATGTTACAGTGTTTGCTGTGTATGTTGATATGGTTTTCCAAAGGGATTAGGATAATCTACCAATTTAGAGTAATAGTTATCTCCATAGAATTGGATACTTACGTTTTTTATTTACCTAGAGGTTTTAATTTGTATTTCTGTAGTTATTAATGAAGATTAACATTTTCTTCATGTAACTGATTATTATTTGTGTTTCTTCTGAAGTCAGTTGTCTGTTTATGTATAATTTGCCATTCAAGAATTTGGATCATAAAGTAGATGGTGCTTTTTATTGCAATAGCCCAAATAAAATTTCATTAATTTTACCTTTATCTTGCAGAGCCCTTTTGAATTATCTTCATTCCTTGACAAATGCAAAGGCTAGGGAGACAAAAAGCCATGTCCATGTTCACATAGTACACTTCACACTTAGTAATAGTCTGATAGCTGTGTTTTTGTAAAACAAGTTCATGTCTCTGCTTAAAAACCTTTAAATTCCATTTACTAATGTTTATATTTGGTTATAGCTCAAATTTGATATATCCAGACCTCTAGAAAGAAACTAGTGGAGGGACTCCTGGGTGGCTCAGTCGGTTAAGCGTCGGACGTCGGCTCAGGTCATGATCTCGCAGTTCATGGGTTTGAGCCCCGTGTTGGGGCTGTCAGCCCAGAGACTGGAGCCTGCTCTTGATTCTTTGTCTCCATCTCTTTATGCCTCCCTTCCCCACTCACGTTCTGTCTTTCTCTCTCTCTCTCAAAAATAAATAAACATTTAAAAACTGGTATCAATAGCTGGATGGCAAAATTTTGAAAATAGGAGTGCTAAGGAAAGTTTTAGTGGGTAACTCAAACATTATATACAAACGTGTACTAGAGAAGGCTGGATCTCTAGACAGTGTTAAGTGACTAAGAAACCTGATGTGGGAAGAGAGAATCATATGGTTTTGACTTAACATTCCTTCTAGCTTCAGTTTTAAACTTTTAGAGCAGTTCTGAGAATGTAGAAAACTGATAAAGAAACTTTGGCAAAGGTGAAAAGCCTCCTCCCAGAGTATAGAATCTGGGTAATTTTAATAATTAGAGTTTATTTTTGTTTTATTCATAGTAAAGGAAAATCATACATGCCTTTGTGCTCTGTGCCTTTAGGATCTAGCTCTTCCTGTGTAGGTTCATCCAGCGACAACTTCTGCCAGGTACAGGCAGCCAGTATACTTAGTATTGACTTATGAAGTTAAACATACAGAGAGAAGAAAATTTTTTTCAGACAGGTGTTAGAAGGCAGGGACAGAGGAAGGAAAGTAGGGGAGCACATATTTCAAATGAAAACCAGTGCTTTATACTTGGCTTTTTAAAAATACTATATTTTACATTACTGGATATTTTTGTAATGAATGTAATGAATACATTACTGGATATTTTTAATTGGACATTTTCCCCACCTTTTTAAAACTAATTTACATTTTTAACTTTATGACAGTTGGGTCAGTAACATCTTATTGGGTATTTTTATGAAACAGTATTCTAATAGTGATTCTGTATTGCCACCCTGAAGGGTGCAATGAATGATTAAATGTAAGATTCTGTCCAGACACTTGAAGGAGCCGCAGGAAAGTGCTGCTTGCCTGCAGGCTATTTGACAGCTGTCGGCTGTGATGTGATATTTAAATCACTGTGAAGCATTAGAATAGGAATACCAATTTGCAACCAAAACATGCTTCTGAAGGTTGAGAAACTTCAAACCAAAAAAGCTCTAGACATCACTTTGAAAGGGTTTTGATGAGCAAATTGCAAATATTAGCACCTCTGAGCTTAAAATGTTACCTGTTGAAATAGAAAAGTGAATAAATATTCTTGAATGTAATCTCTCCAAGCCAAAAAAGTGAAACTAGATTGAAACAAATTGAGAAACCTAAAAATAATTTTAACTCCTACCTAGCTGGAGTTCAGATGGTCAGTAATCTCACCTGGGCTTTGAACTCCTAGAAGACTATAACAATATCTATTTATCTTTTATATTCCAGATTACTTACTGCACTACTTTATGTATAGAAGATGCTCAGGATATATAGAATTCTGGCTCTTCATTTTCATTGAAAAAGACCTTATCACTGAAAGTGGAGATTGCCACATTTCTATTCCTTAATGAGGAAGAACTAGCATCTGGCATATTCTAAGCATGTCACTGCCAGTAAACCCGTGTTGCATTTTTGTAGTGACAGACATAAATTTAAGGACATTTGCTAATTGTCTATATCATTATAAAGCCCTGTATTATTAGGTCCTCTCTGAGCTGTGCTTTGTGGTAATCAAGGCCAGCATCTGGGACATGCGACCTGTGTAGTCTCATAGGGCCTTGAACTTGGCTTAATGTTTTGCTTTTGCCATCTTGAAATTATTGATAATCTCTTAACAAGAGCCTCTTGTCATTTGTACTAGACCCCACAAATTATTAGCCAGCCCTGCTGGTAATTCTTTCTGTCATATAATTTTGCTTGACAACACTATATGATAAAGCCTATCCTTTACAGTTTACTTCCTTTGAGAATTTTAGGGTCTCTTAAAAGTACTGGATCATTATTGAAAATACTTGTAGAGCCCATCTTCCTTGTCCTTCCCATGTCTCCTTCCCATCACCTGTAGAGGTAATGCCAGGGAGGCATTAACCACAGCATATCTGCCATCTGAAGAAAGGGAGAGTAAAGGTAGGGAGTACAGTGGTAGCAGCGTGAGTAGTTAGGAGATGGGTTACATTAGCAATTATTTGATCCAGCAAAAAAGTAAATATATTAAAGATAACAGAGCCAGATTTCTCACTGTCTGAAGGGATTTATAAACACTGAAAGGCAGAAAGTTGAGTACTGGATTAGAATTGTAATTATCAGCATAAACTCATGGGTTGTTTTTTTTAGTTTACGTATAGGAATAGTTATAGACATATGTTTATATGTATATATGAATGCCTGTATGTACATACATATATGAATGTGTGTGTGTATACACATAATACATAAATTTCTTGGTTGTTTATACTGAGAGAGTCTAGAGACCATGATACCTCAGTAGTAATGAGCATAGTGAGTGCCCAGATCTTGATTCCTAAATACCATTCTCCACTTAAAGGAATCAGGGCTGCTTGGAAAAATGGCCAGTCCAGGGCTGGGGCAGCAAATATAACAAGATAAATGAGGAACATCTTGTTGTTCCAGAAAGTAAGGAAATATCTAAGGAATAGGAACATGTCAAAAGGACCTAGAAGCCAGCCTGAATACACACCTACTGACCAAATCTAATTTAAGCAACAAAATAAGTAACATTAGTATCAGATTACAACTCTGAATAAAATAGGAATCTATGAACTCATGAAAAAATGGAGAAGAGGAAGTTCTTCCTTACAAGCCCAACTAAGAAATGCAGAAGGGAATAGATAATCACCAGTTTGACAGCCATCACAGAGATGGTGAAACAAGAGGGAGCAGTGTATTTGTTAGACTAGTAGTTGAAGGGTTGATGAGCAACAAGATATTTTTCTGATACTGTGTGCTTGTTTCAGCTCACACACCTTAAACAGGCATCCTATTTGCAATCTACTTCACCCATTTTTCACATTTTTGCCCTTTGTGTTGATTTTGCTGTTTAAAGTGGCCCCAGGCGTAGTGCTAAAGTGCTTTCTGTCTAGCAGTCCTAAGCACAAGAAGGCTGTGAAGGGCCTTCTAAAGAAAACAAATATTAGATAAACTTCATTAAAGCCTGAATTATACTGCTACTAGCCACAAGTACTATGTTAATAAATCAGTTATATGTTAAATAAACTCTCTCTAAAAAGAAACACACATAAAACAGGGTTATTTATTGATCAGTTGAAGAAAATGTGACCAGAGGCTCACAGAAACCTATCCCTGAATTTTCTGCAGGAGCTGTGTTTAAATGTTTGTGAATTCAGTGTTCAAGGTATCTTTACAGAATCTGAGTGCAAGAGAATAACAAGAATCAAATATATCTGTCATATAATGGGTACTAACAGTGATTGCCATTGGTTTTATCAGATTAATTTCATGTCATGTATAATAGGATTTTAAATTTTACTTTAAGTTGTGAAAGTACAGGTGTTTGTGAGTTATTTATAAAATGTCTCAGGTATAAAAGGGCATTTAGAAGACTTGAACTTTGGTTTATGTAATAGGAAACAACAAAATACTTAAAACAGTATATTTGCACCTTCTTTGCGGAAATAAACCATATGTTTTTTACTTCACTAACCGTCATTTAGTTGCATCTGATTACTAATTTAAAATATATTTGAATTTAAGAAGATAGTTCTGGGGCACCTGGATGGCTTTGTCCATTAAGCATCAGACTCTTGATTTTGGCTCAAGTCATAATCTCGTGGTTCATGAGTTTGAGCCCTGCATCTGTCAGCATGGAGCCTGCCTGGGATTCTCTCTCTCTCCTTCTCTCTCAGCCTGTCCTCCACTCATGCTTTCTCTTTCTCTCAAAATAAATAAACAAACTTAAAAAAAAAAAGAAATTGTAGTTTCAGAGATAGAAAGTTGTTTTTTTTAACCAAAAACTGTAAGTAAACCATATATATTAACTAATCATTCTAAAACTGAACACCCTGGTGTGTCATTGTCTTAAGAATTTTGGCTTATCATTGCTTTATATAGTGTCTAATGGGAACTTCAGTGGCTTCCAGAGCCTAATAGATTTACTGTGTATGGCTTTTAATGTTAATTGATTGGCCTTTGATCCTTTTAAATGAATAAGAAATAGCTTATTAGAATTGAATGGGTGAATTAGCTAATTGTATGTACTTAACATTTGGAGGGATAAGTAAAAAGAGAAGAAAAAGACTCAAGTTAATTCAAAAGCAAAAATGAGAAGAAAGGATATTTGATGTATTCTTCAAGTCTTTCTTCTAATGAAATATTAGACAAAACAAATTGGGGACTTGTCTTTGAATAGGAAACAGATATGCTAAGTATATTCTTAGTTCAGATTTTTTTTTAACTTTTATCTTTAGATGCAGATTTTTGTCTAGAAGAGGGTGTTTTGGGGGGGGGGGGCGCTACCAAAATAGAATTCATAACTTCAGGTTTTGATTGGAATCTCAGCTGTATTAATATCAGGAAATAAAATTTTCTCCTCTCATTTTTAGACAGGCTGTTACTCTTCTAATGCAGGGTTGTTTCTAATTTAGATTTCTAGGAAACCAGGGAAAGTATATTCTTTTTGAATCCAGTTGTTGGCTAAGCCAGGCCTTTGAGCTTCCTGGCGACTTGTGTGGGAAAGTGTTTCTAAGCTATCAATAAAGCAGTGCATTAATAATAATTGTTATTTTGAGGCACCTAGGTGGCTCATTCAGTTAAGTGTCCAACTTGATTTCAGCTCAGGTGATGAGCTCATGGTCTTGGGATCGATCCCACCCATCAGGCTCCACGCTGAAGCTTAGAGCCTGCTTGGGATTCACTCTTTCCCTCTCTCTCTTTGCCCCTCCCCAGTGCTCTCTCATACTCATGTGTGTGCACATTCTCTCTCTCTCTCTCAAAAATAAACATTTTAAAACTTATTATTATTTTTCCTCTTTAAACATATTGCATTTTATTTTTTTAAAAAAATCTATTTCTTATTTTGTTTAGTACATATATCTCTTCAGCCAGAGATCATTACTGATGGTTATCAGGCATTTGTTTCACACTTTGTTAATTTTATAAAATGATTTTCATCAGGTATTTCTCACAAAAGCCCTGAGTGGTAGGTGAAAATCATGATTCCACGGATGGGAAAACTGAGGGACAGAGAAGCCCTGAGCCTTACCTCCTGGTTAGAATATCCTGCTTCTCTGATCTGTGTTGTAGGTTTTTGTATGTTTGGTTTTTTTGTTTCCTTTTTTAAAATATCCCTGCCTTTCTGCTGTAGAGAATGATTTATATATTGCAACAGCTGATGTTTTTCTTCTGCAGAGATATTCCAATGCCCTTAGTCAGCTCAGGAGTAGAGCATGGCAATTTGAGAGAGCTGGCATTTGCAAGAATGAAAGACCTTGGAATACAGGTAAGAGTCCAGCCGTAACTGGTGAGATCAAAATAATCAGAAACACAGGGCACTTAACTTTAATACACACAGACAGACTCACAAGTTTGGTCTGAAAGCTTTCATATACTGCAGGCATTGTTACTAGATGTATGTAAAACATGAAGTGGGAAGTAGTGGTTGCAAAGGCTGCATCCTCTTCCTCGTGCCCCTCTGCTTTCTTCTAAAAGAGTACAAGTTTGTCGATTTAAGGGTTGTTTTTTCTACCTACTCAGGTGCCATCTATGAACTCAACTCTATTTTTTAAATTTTGAAGTTTTTTTTTTTTTTTGAAGTATTGGGGGTTCGGTTCTTGACTAGTGGAGATAGAAGATATGAATATACATTTGAAGAAACCAGGATTATGTGTGTAAAATGATTGATTACCAAACAGTGCTGTTGCCCACATATTCCAATATCCCTTGCCCCACTCCACCCCTATTCAGGTACTTACTTACTTTAGATATTTACTCAACACCTTCTTTCTTCTGGCCTTGAACATGCAGAAGAGGCCAGGAATCTGCAGCTTAACAGTCTCTGCAAATGATTCTTAAATCACAGTAAGGTGATTATGACATAAATTCACAGTGCCCTAGAAACTCCTTCTTAGAGCTACTAAAGAGGAAAAGCCAGAAGCAGGGTCAAGGCCTGAGCAGTGATCCCTGGGCTCTGCCTTCAGCGATTCAGATTCATTAGATCTGGAATAGACCTGTGGGATGTTCTCCCACAGTGCCCTTCTCTGCAAAAAAGAAAAAAAAGAAAGGAAAAAAAAAAAGCACCACAGCAGTCTTTCCAACTTCTAAATGATACCATAAAATGATGAAGATATTTAAAAATTTGGAATTTGCTTTTTACTCTTCTGTATACATATTTTTGGGTTCTACTTACAGTTATAGTTATATACCCTGGGTAAAGCTATTTCCAGATTTTAGGCCATATGTTATTTGGGTATCATGTATTGATCTTTGAATTCTAAGCTTGTTTGTAAAGCATTACTATACTAACTTCATACTTTGTTTTCCTCTATCTTCAGATTTATTAAAGATGGTTTTATTTTTAAATTTAGTTCTTATTATCTCATTGAAAATTATGTCCAAACTCAATTTTGAGCTCAGGGTTTGGTGGAAAGACATAAATAAAAATTGAATTAGTTACCCAGTTTTGTATTTGCCCTTTTCCTCCACTTTTTTTTTCTTCAGTGTCGAGATGTGAGAACCAGAGAGGTTGGAATCCAAGAAATTCATCACAAAGTACGGCCATACCAGGTTAGTTTCTTTATTTTACAGAGAGATTAGGTCCTGTTCATAAATTTTTGTCAAGCCTGGACCCACATTTTCTTACCAACAGGACTAATTCCTAGAAGTTAATAAGTAAACTAAGCAAAGGGTAATTGAGGATCAAATATAGATGTTAAGACAGGAAAGGCAAATATGAGGGTGGCTGAACTGTAGAAGAGATAGGTTAGGAAAACCAAGTCTGAACTTCATTCTAGATCAGCATTGTCCACTAGAACCTTCTGCAGGGTTGCGAATGTTCTGTAATCTTTGCCATTCAATATGGTATCAGTCCATTGTGACATGTGACTGTAAGCACTTAAAAAGTGGCCAGTGCAGCTGAGGAACTGAGTTTTGACTTTTAATTCAAATATAAATAGCTACATACAGCTAGTGGCTACCTTCAGGTAGAGCTGAATGTGATCTGTTTATCTTTGTGTGTACTACAGCTATTAAATTATTGCCCATTGGTGGTAATCAAATAAATAGAGGGCCCTGATCAATAAGGGTTCCACAAAACTTAAGCCTAATGCCTAAAAAGTGTTCTTTGTTTGTAATGAGTTAACTTCTCTCCTGTATACCACTAATGCCTAGCTAGATGCCACACTTTCTGTGGGAATTAGCTATCTTGTGGAAGCCCACTTGAGAAAGATTAGATGATATTTGCATTGATATTTCTGTTCTCAAAGTGCATTGTTTCTTTAATTGATATTTTTAACATCTGAGGCCTTTTGAGGAAAAAAGTAGACCCAAGCACAGTTAATCATTTTTCCAGGTTCTTGTGCAATCCAGTTAGTTAGCAGACATTAAGTTTGAGAGGAAATAAAAGCATTAGTCTGAGTTGTTCACCTCATTACTGGTACAGTCAGCCCATCTTCAGAATGTGTCTGTGTGTGACCATGCCCACATATGTAGGTTTCTCTGTGAATATTCTTATATATTGCTTCTGTACATGCAAAATTCAAGGGCCACTTGAACAACTAGCTGAAGAGTCAAAAGCCAATGTAGATTGGTACCACAGAGCTTCCCCCTATAGGGTACTCCCTCTCCAGTGCTTGAATTTTCTTTAACGTTTAATCTTATAACTAGGCATAATATTTTAAAGGCCCTATGGGATGCCATACTTTCTTAAAATCCCATCAAGGAACAAGTGACCAGTGACACATTTTTTCCCCTAAAAGCAGGTTTTAGTGGAAGAAGTAAAGGCTAGAAAATGAAACCATTGAGGACCTGACATTTTGGGGGCTCAGTGGTGCTCCCAAGAGCTATACATGTGACATAATGTGTAATTTACCTTAGAGACTCTTCATGAAGGATCAGAGATTTAAGTGCATAGAAGCATTTACTGAGCTGGATCTCTGTAAGTAAGAATCTCAAGGTTAATGAAGTTCAAATATTTATGCAATTATACATTTATTTTCCTTTTATAATATTCCATGAACAAGTTATGAGCTCTTTTAGACATTGATATTTGAAAGTAGAAAAGTAAAGAAACATAATTCGTGATTATTCATTATCCTTAATTGTGTCTATTAATCTAAATAAATATTATAATTATAAAAATGAATTTTCTCTAATTTAAAAAACTTTGTGCATGTGGCTTTTTATTAAACAGGTTGAATTGGTAAGGAGAGATTACGTTGCAAATGGTGGCTGGGAAACATTCTTATCATATGAAGACCCAGATCAAGACATTTTGATTGGCCTCCTAAGATTACGAAAGTGTTCAGAAGAAACCTTTCGTTTTGAATTGGTTGGAGGTGTTTCCATAGTTCGAGAGCTACATGTATACGGAAGTGTAGTCCCTGTGAGCAGTCGAGATCCTACTAAGTTTCAGCATCAGGTATCCTGTATTCCATTTCTATTTTACTGTAATTAAAAACTTGCCCAAAGGAGGAAAAGAGAAAAGGAATGGGCAGAGGGAGGGGGCAAAGGCAGAAGAGGAAGGAGGAAGTGGGGAAAGGCAAGGACAGAAACTGAGGAACTAATATTGTATGTTCAGGGATGTTTTCTTTTGGGTGTGAAAGAGGAGGAGCGAGAAACAAATTTGAGACTCAGGTAGAATATAGTATTAGATTGAACCATATGAAATTGCTATTTTTGAAAGTCAGAAATGGCCTAATACCAGCAATTTCCTATGATTCAACTGTGTATTATGAAATCAAAGCAGATGATAATATGAAAGCACTTGTGAAATATTAAAGCTCTTCATAGATGCAGTCTATATCTGACATATAGTATAATTCTATTCCACTCCCCACAAACAACCTAAAAAAACTCAGTCTTTAAAATTTCCAGAAAATGGCTTAAAACCACTATTGGTGGATATAGAGTAGACCCCAAACTTAGTAATTTAAGAATATTGCCTGGTTTCAAAAACCTTTTAGAAATTGTAGGGGTGACTAATAGATCCAAGATTAGATGCCCCAGACTTTATCACCTGGAGATTGCCTAGAGCTCGTTTAAAAAGAGACAGGAAGTTGAGAGGCAATTGCCCCCTTGCTGTGATGGGATTACATCAACCACAGAATACCTTTTGATGGCTTTTGTTGCAAAATTATTCCCTTTTTTACTAGTCTGCTAGTGTATTTTTGGTATAATTGAATGGTTTTTCTTACTCCCATGCATTTTTTTTTTTTGGTCACTCTTATTTTAGCAGATTTTAGTAATTACTAAATATTAGCCTTTTTGTTGTACGGAACCCTCTTAATGACTTCCTTCCTTCTCAGTTCCCTAACCACATCCTGTGCTCCTTCCAGGGATTTGGCATGCTTCTGATGGAGGAGGCAGAAAGAATAGCTAGAGAAGAACACGGATCTGGGAAAATAGCTGTTATATCAGGTAACTGATATAAAATTCAGGATTCATTCACATTTTAACTTTGTATCACAGTTAAAACTATCTCAGCCCTCTCTTGCCCCTATTTGTGATTAATCAGAATTGGGCAGAGTACAACAGTGAAAGACTTGTGCTCACACACAGAATTCCTATAAGCAGTCTGGTGGAGTAGAGCTTTCAGAAGCATGGAGTGGCAAGACCATGAATCAGTGTCCTATCTTCCTTGCTGTCACACCAGTCATCTGTTTCCCCCACTAGTCATCGTGGTCACTTCCTCTCTTGTGCTTTGTGCCCAGTTAGTCTGTCTGGGAAAATGAAATTTGGTGATATAGATCCAAGGAAAAGTAAACCTGTGTGGCTGTTATCAATACTGTTGTTCAGAAAGCTAAAATGGAACCTCAGTTGCCAGTACAAGATATTTAAAGACAAAGTTCTTTGCTCCTTAAATATTGTTCTCAGTGACTTTGCTTCAGGGAACAGCTTTCCCTTCCTTGTAACTTTCCCCATATTCTGTGTGGGACATCAGATAACTGGGGAAGTGGGCACAAAAAGGAAATTCTAGTGTGAGAGAAAAGAAATAATATATATACCATTTCACTCCTACTTTTTGGTACTATATCCCAAAAATTGCTATTCCTAATAAGCTAATGTGGTAAAAGCCATGATTAGAACATGGGTTGTTTCTCCTCCAGGTCTATTTTCCCATTACAAAACATGCTCCATTCTTAAAGGCAGATTATTTTCTTTTAAAATCTTTTAAATAATCTTTTCTGAAAACGAAAGTTGAAATGAGTTTTTAAAAAATCAGTAAGTTTTTGCTAATCAATAAATCAACACCCTTGCCCAGGTTTTTAATGTAACAACCCAGGCTCGCTTAATCATTTAGTCTGGCTATGGTTTTTTGCATTATCCAGATTAATAAAACATTTCTTAACATGGGTAGGTCTATATATTTTTCTCTATTACCCTTAATTTCACTAAAAAGAGGCTCACCTGATTGATACTGATATTTGTAATAAAACATGTTTACCTCTCAGTTGTCTAACCTGTGGCTGTCCAGAAGTCAGCCTTTCCTGCTCCCCGGAGAGGGAGACTTATTCTACACACACACCTCTGAAGGGTTGTGAGCACCTGAAATTTCAGTGGTCCCTTTCGCTTGAGCACTGTCAGTATGTTCAGCACAGTACTTCTCAAGCTTTAATGTGCTTGTACATCACCCAGGGGTACTGTTAAAATGCAGATTCAGGGGGCGCCTGGGTGGCTCAGTCTGTTAAGCGTCTCACTTTGGCTTAGGTCATAATCTTACAGTTTGTGAGTTCGAGCCCTACATCGGTCTCTGTGCTGACAGTTTGGAGCCTGAAGCTTGCTTCCAGTTCTGTGTCTCCCTCTCTTTCTGTCTCTCCCCCCACTCATGCACTCCTTCTCTCTCTGTCTCTCTCTCAAAAATAAATAAACATTAAAAAAAATTTTTTTTTAATGGAGATTCAGTCTGGGGTGGGGCTTGAGAGCCTGTGTTTCTAACCAGCTCACAGTGATACCTCTGCTGATTGTGTCTTCAGACCACACTTTGTATAGCAAGATTTACATAATCTCTTCCAAACCATTAAGGGAAAGGATAAGGCCCAGGGGCCCTGTGCAGTCACGTGGTTTTCTGGTATCTGTGGGAACATAATCGATTTTAACCAAAGAACATTGGTATTCTATTACTTCTACACATTATTTCATTAGCCTTCATAATATGTGTCTATTTTTAGAAATGTTACATGCAGAGAGGGCCCTTGGCTTGCCTGAGATTGTATTCAGGCACCCTTAAGAGCCTCAGTATCTGCTATTTATGAGCAGGGTGTCCAAGTGGAAATTAGGAAATGTCCTCTTTCTAGCTTTTTATCATAATCTAAATAATAGTCAATTTCAGATCATCTGCTTGTAGAATTTTTAAAGTAATAAGAAGAGTCTTGCTGAAAAAAGCTAAGAAGAACTTTCTCCTTAACTGCTACAATAGGACTACTAGACTTAACGTATAGGGGGTTCCTTTGAGCTAGTGGGTTTCGGGAAGAGAATCCTGGATTGTCTTTTGGAACTAAAGTGAGTAGTTCTTTGGGAGGAAGAAAGCATGATTTCCTGTCTCTAGTCTCTCAGCTGCATCATTGCTTTCTATTAGGGAAAGCACACAGGACCTTGACTTTCTCTTTGACTCAAGATCTGATCACTCTTCTAATGAAAAAGCCAAGAATATTTCTCTATGTATGATGCATTTTATTTCTCTAATTTAGTAATATATTACTGTTCAGTTAAGTTTCTGAATCAGACACCTGGGATGTCCATTATTCAGAACTTTGAGTAGTGCAGATTTAAAGTATGCATTATCATCACTTTATATGTAGCTTTTGTCTTTCCATGTTTGTTGGTATTTCACTTCGGTCTTTCTGCTTTGATTATAATGGGGATGTGTGTGTGTATGTGTTTTAATTAGTTTTTGTAAAAAGTCAAACAGGTGTTCTCCATAAACTGATCTTGGAACAAAAATCTCTTTATGATTGCAGTGGTGCTGTGTTTATTCACAGCGCTTCATTAGATGTGTGGTATAGGAAGAGACAGTTAGTGGAGAGAGAGTTTGGATTCCATTCCTGTGTTGACAGTAGCCCTCACTCCTTGTGATCTTGGATAATTTCACATGATCTCCATGGACCTTTCTTCCCTAACTAGAGACAACTGGGATAGGTTATCTTTTACAATTGTAGTGGTCTGGAATTCTGCTCTTTAGTGTCTTCATCTCTTTTAGTTCTCAACATAACCACTTATGTTTTACTGATTACATTTTAAGTAGATTCTTTCCTGAAACCATGTTTAATTTCGTTAGTAATTGAACTCAGTCTCCTTGTATGTTAGAGATTTGAGGATAAAAATCATAGTTTCCTATAGGTGGGTTATCCTATGATTGGTGGATACACATTGACAGTTTGGTGCTTCTTTGTGACCTAAGTGTCCTATGTTTGTTTGTTTTTTTCTGACTTTGTCCTTGATTTGTAAATCTATCCTTGTTCTGGTCTGTAGGCTTTTGTACACAGTGGTGGCCTACATGTTCAGTCCTGGCATAACTAGTGGCTTGAGTAAGGGAGAAACAGGTCATTTATCATTCTGGTTACAGTGACTGTAAGAGTAATGTACTTATGTAGAGTTTTGGTTTTTTTTAATTACATTCTGATTCATTATGACTTCCCCTCAACTTGCCAGCAGATTTTCTCTGTTATTTGGATTTATAATCTTTGATTCTGCCTCTAGACAATATGATTAACTGCACAGTAGATCTGATTTGAATCACTAGTCAGAAAGACTCCATGTGTTCTATTTTTCCCTGTTAAAAACAAATCAGTTTTTATCTTTGTTACCTCAATATATTTTGTTTATAGAAGGTACATACATATTTTACAGCTAATTTAAACTTTTTTAAAAGATTGACTTTATAGCTACTTGAGGAAAATGACAGTTTTTTTGTTTATTGGAGTCAAGTGAAGCACTTAGACCTTTAAGATTATTCATTCTATTTTTTTAAGTATATGTAATTGTCTTAGTAAGTAAACTGTGTTTCAAAGTTAACCATCAACTCTAAATGTGAAAATTAAAACAAGAATGAAATGTTTGGCTTCATCAACATCAAAACCACTAAGTGTATTGAGTGTCACCTATGTTCAAGGGACCAGAGTTGGGAGGGCAGATTATGGAAGTATGAGGTGCCTCCCAGTCTTTGAGGGGTGTTGAGATTGGGCTGCACAGTTAACTCAGTCTTCATCTCACAGATTATCCTTAACTGCAGAGGAAGATAAATTTTTCTTTCTACTTAGACTATATCTCAACTCATGATTCTCATGATTAATGGCTTCAGAACAAGAAAATAATCTTTCTCTACATACAAAAATGGTTAAACCGATAAGGTAAGAACAACCAGTTTATAAAATAATGTGTGGTCAGTTAATTACTGCTAAATAGCTAGGCAATTAATTACTCCCTATTATATCCAAGTACTTTAGTATCTCTCACCAATTTATGTAGCTTCTATCAACGTACATCTTTTTGAGATTAACAAATTGTACCTACTTCAAAGCCATGATGTTTATCTATGTGGATGCTTATCTCTCTTTAAATATGTTAGGGTAAAGCTGTTTTTTCCTCTTCCTGTCTTATGGTGTCAAGTGCAGGTGATTATGCTGTAGAACCTAACTACAACATTTGAAATGCCATCACTAATAATCACCATGGAAACTGGATATCTCTGAGTTACACTCCCCGTACCATTTCCAAAAGGGCAAATATTACTGTTGATAGCTGCTATTTAAAAAGCCACGTAATACACCCAACAAAATGATTTTTTTTCTTTTGGCAATTTTGGCTAGGTATCAGATCCAATCATGTTACTGTTTCTATTTGCCAAGCTAATTACTATGCAGCAAGACAAACAGCTATTCCCAAGCTCCCCCTAGTACCTGCGTCATAAGCAGTATTCTCTTTGTGTTCTTTCAAGTAGAAAATTAATATGGCCATTGGCCAAGAATTGTACAGGGCTGATAGATCACACAGTGATGGTAAGAAATGAGGAAAATGTCTGAATAGTTGATGACAGAAATCCACTGAAGTCAGAGACTGCTAGCCATTTTATTTAAACCCATTAAACAGGCAAAAAAGAGAGAATGGGAGAAGATAAATGTATAGGATGAATAATCCTTAAACCTTAAATACAGAATAAACGAGTCACTGTGGAGAAGAGATCATTCTAAAATCATGATGCTCAGAATATGATTCTAAAGCTATATCTGCAATTCCTGCTAGTAACAAAAAACCCAACATGCCTATGCCTTACATAATCCGGGATGGTTTCCTGGGACTGAAATTAATGGTCTTGTACCCAGAGCCAGTATTTAAATGACATGTGGGCAGAAAATAACAGTCATTTGGTTTCATTAAACTACAAATGGCTTAGATTTACTTACTGAACCCGAGAAACTTCACCTGTATTCCAGGCTACAACCCATCTCCCTTTACTTAAGGTGAAGGTAGTTTTATTCTCTTCATTATAATCTAGGCGAAAAGAAGCGTACATTTGTAACTAGATCTGTCTGGTAATGGACTCCTAATCCTTACCAAAATGCCTAGAAAAGCTTTTCCTCATTTTGGCTTATCTATTTGCTAAGGACACAGGAAGCCTGCCAAATGCAAACCAGTTTGTGCCGCCTGTACCCGTGTGCTGTGTGCATAGGACTTCTCAGAAAGGAAGGGGAAAGATTGTGTGCTCTTTTGTAGTTTCTGTTTCATCCCTTTACATAATTTATCTTGTAATAAATTATCCCCTAATGAAATGCACGTTGTTAGGGTTTTGTATATTCCTCTATTTCTTCCACTTTGGCATTCTAACAATTAACATATTTTTTAATGTTTATTTATTTTTGAGAGAGAGAGAGTGCAAGCGGGAGCCAAAATCTTGACCTGAGCCAAAATCAAGAGTTGGCCACTTAACCACCTGAGCTACCCATGTGCCCCCATATTTCTTTTTTGGTGCATGTTCCAATGGGATTTTATTGTGGTGGTGGGTAGTATCTTTCTTTTTAAAGACAGTAGATAAAACACAAACTATTGCTTTGCTATAAGAATTTTATTTTTAATCAGACTAGCAATGATGACATGGAATACTGTTTCACTAGCTAAGAAATTAGCTAAATATTTGCTAACTGGTGTGTGTATTGCAGCTGGACTATGGAGGCATGATTGCATAGCTCTTCCCAGGACTCTGCATTCCCTGACTTGGTATTCATTCATTTGTAGAGGAATCAGTTACCAGATTGTAGTACTTTGCATATCGAGTGCATTATACTCATCCCTCTCTCTCTGTATATCGTGACTGTAATAACTAATGTATATTTTCCAAGTATTCCTGAATAGGCCACTAGAGTGAGTTTCCACTGTTTGGATCTTGTTAGCAACTAAGTTTATGGTGATGTTTCCTAGGCAGAAGCTAGTGATATGAGTAGGTAGTAGCTTGTTGGCACAATAGGAACAGCATCTGGCAGGTGCTGTTTCTTTTCCCGGGTCCATGCTATCAAATCTCCTTTTATCTCAGAAATGTGCACATTAATGTCCCAGAGGCCAACCCTGCTGATGTTAAAACATGCTTAACATTTGTATACTTTTTCTCCCCATCCTTGTTCCTCTTAGTTTATAGATATGAGAAT